GAAACCGTTTGAAAAGCGCGTTTAGTTGCAACCGGCTGCAAATTGCCGCTCTACATCATTTATATTTTATAATGTGTAAAACAAAAGAACGAAAAGAGCGATTGATATCGGTCTGAAGACATCCCTTAATCAGTAATATATTATTCATACACTGTATACTAGTTAATGTAGGCCTTATGTAATTGAACAATGTGGGACTTCCAGTTGGACTGTAGGCACCAACTGAGGTGCCCCAGTTCGCTGATTACAAGTTAGCACGTGACTAGAATGTGCTATTGTTATCTGACCTCGTTTCCGAGGGAACTCTGCCACGACAATATAGTAAGTAGCGCTTCACAGGTCTATTTTAGGGCATTTTCCGTTACCCGGATGTCTGACGGTCAGTAGAATTGTCTCACCAGCAGCCGGAAGTACTAAGTTACGTCACGTTGAATTTTTTTATCAACACACGTCAACAGCAAACGCATACTTAGTTACTAATGTGCTTTCTCTTTCCAGTTTACGACGCAGTTTTGAATAGTGATATTGATCTGACCTTAGCACCGGATTCAAACAATAGCGCATGCGCCTAAACTGCGTTGTTTGAATGTACAAAGCCTGGGGGTGTTTACCGTCTGGTTGATTTGATTTGATTTAATTTGCTCTCTGATGTCTTTTTGAAAATGTATAGTAGAAATGTTCTATTGGTTTTATGTTTTGAAAAGTCAATTCATCGGACTTCCTTAGAATAACATTTATTTTACCTTCACTGAATGGGAATTCCCTTCGTATTTAGGCGTAGGCCTATAGTGTTAGGTATACATGTATGTGGCCCCAAGGGGATTTTCCACCACTCACCCCCTTTTGATAAATAAAATGCTCCATGTGGCAGATTAAAAATGATATTGTAAAATGCATTTAAAATCGTAGGTAGGTTAATTGCAGATAATGCAGCGAGGATATTCTTATTCGAGGGCGAACTTTAACATCGTCTCTTGGTTTTGGAGCACCTGTTCTAATTTTTGAAAGCGAGGCAATGGAACCAATCAATACGACACAATTTGTAATCTCCTAAAAAAATTAATAAAGATCATAGCATGCAGTACATCAAAATGCAACTAGTTTATTATTATGATTTTTAATAATAATTGATATTAAAATAAACGAAATAACAAATTCTTATTCTCGGCCTATATATTAGCTTAATTATTATTTTTTTTTAGTATTTGGGGATTAAAATCACAAAAGTTGTCTGGTTTCATATCTAGGCACCACGTATTGTAGGCTACGTGTGCTCCTTATTCAGTGGTTGACATCATGGTGTCATGGGAGTTTTTATCAGAAAGAACGTTTGTTGACCACATTTTACAGCAGCCACTCTTACTCTTTTTATTTATTTATTTATTTATTTATTTATTTATTTATTATTGTTGTTGTTAATAATAATGATAATTTGTTATTATTATTTTCAGTCTTGAAGAAATGAAAATAAGAAAAAAATTATTGTATTGTAAATAAAATCATATTCAGGGATGTGCATGTGCATTGAGGATTTTACATGCACCTGGGGGGTTGTGCTGCCCCTGAGGGGTGGTTGATACTGAATTTTCACATTATAATTTCTGGTATTTTATCCTAGACCATTAGAGTGGGAAAGTTTGCAGTTTGGGTATTGGGGGACCTATCACAGGGAATTGACACTGACTCTTTGAAATTGAACTGTAACGGAGGGAGGGATTGGGCTTTCCCTGGGGTTGGTTGATTATTTTCAATTCTTTTCCTATTGTAAATTTTGCTTTCTCCTCCTAACCCATTAAATTTTGGTATTGATAGAATTATATTCAGGGGTGTACTGGTACATTGGCACTTGCGATTTTCTGTACACATGGGGTTGGACTGTCTTACTTTCTGGACAGGAATACAACTGAGACATAAGTGCAAGATTGCTACAATAGTCTCCAAAATTAAGTAAACATCATCTGTACAAACTGATTCAAAATTCTGCAGCCAGGCTGGTAACTAAAATGGAAGTAATCAGTTGAGAGCATGTTACACCTGTATTGATGGAACCTCATGAGTTCCCTTTAGAAAGAGAAGTTTGATGTGTACTTTGTAAAATAGTAACAAAAAAACTATTTCTCAGAATTCATTAAGCCACATCAGCAGGGACGGGCCACTAGGTGTTCAACTTTTAACCATTTACCCTGCTGTTAAGAAACTTTAAAAATTTACGGAGAAAGGGCTTTTATTATATATGCGCCCTAACCCTGGAACATATACCCGCTCTATTAAAAGCAGCGGGTGAAATAATAGACATTTTAAAGAGACTTTTAAACACTTACATTGTTATTTATTTATTGATTTATTTATTTTTTAAAATAGGGTATTATTAATTATCAAGCAGCTTTTATTTTATTATTATTTTTTTTTAGTTTTGTTTGTTTAATTGACAATGCTTAAAGGGATAATAACTCTTTGTATGAGATCTATATTTGACAATAAAAACATTGTGAACAACTCATAGAAATATAATATATTCTGTTTTACCACAAAAACAGCAGTTATAGCTATTAGTTTGATATCTGAGCTTGTCTTTAGACTGCGTGACCTCCATTGATGGCTATTCTCTGTTATAATCTCTTAAGAGATTCTAACAAAAAATCAAACTTTTTAGAAAAAAACAGGGACTAACTTTGAATGTAAAAATGGATTCATTTACCATTGGTAAGTATGGGAAAATTGTTGTTTACTCCAGGAAAATTCATTTTTTGGCCAGAACGAAGAGTTATTATCACTTTAATTCTTTTACTTAGAATTTGAGGTTGTTAGTAAACCATATCTGTAATTTTATAATTGAGCTTTGCCAGTTTTAGCACTTAAGTTTGTCATTTAAAATCTTTATTACTTGCCATATTTAACTCTTTTAAATTGTAATATTTAGCTGTTTTAATTTAAAACAATTGTAAAGCCTGTTGAGATTTTTAGTGGGATGCGGCATATAAGAATAAATTATAATTTATTATATTTATACGTGTACTTAGGATAGCGAATTGATGGGTTAACATAATCCCCATTACCAGTACAAGATATATATTATATATATGATAGTACAACGACCTGAAGTAGTGGACTAATCGTCAGAATGGTCTAAAACTCTCTCTCTCTCTCTCTCTCTCTCTCTCTCTCTCCAAATTATGATAAAATAAGGCAAAACACGAGTAAGTGATTATGAGTATAAGGAGTTCAGGAAGAGTTCAGCTGCATCTAATTTTATGCCTTATATTTCGAACAGTATACACCCGTAGATGTCGGTTAGGAATAGCTATGCTCTATCACATGTATTACTTATAACTTTGTAATTGAAAAGGTTTAAACCTAAAAAAAAACCTTTTAAGCAATAGCTTCATATGAGACTTACTGTCATACCAGATGTGTAAGTGTAAAAATAAACAGATAAGGTTTTTTATGATGATAAATGTTTAAAAAGCTGTACATTACCTGAAACAGAGAGTCATATTGAAGACATTGATATGGGCGGCCAAAAGGGCAAAAATTCATGTCGTCGATTCAGTTATGTTTCGTCGATTCACTGCCTTCCCATCTAATCGATTCAGTTTCAAGTTTCAACGATCCTGTCATAAATTCAACAACTACTTTCGTCAATTCAATTGTCAAACATTTCTCATCTACGGTGCATTAAAACCAATGCTGTCACTATTTTCGTCGATCGTGTAACTATTCTCGTCGATCGTCAAACTATTTTCGTCGATCGTGTAACTATTCTCGTCGATCGTCAAACTATTTTCGTCGATCGTCTAACTGTTCTCGTCGATCCTGTAACGTCACCTCATCATTCATCGATCGATCGCCAGAGGGCGCTGCGGTAGCACATTGGCCTATCACATGACTATCAAAATGGCAGACAACTAAATGATTGCTAGTGAAATAAGAACATTTTCTCAACAATTTCAATTTTAATTGTTCATAATTAAAATCTATTCGGTTGTATGGACATTATTTTCTAGTTGTTTTCAACTCTGACCATGGCTGGCCGAGTTAAAAATTACCGCGTGATTGACAGACAGAAGCACGTGTTGCTACCGCAGCGCCCTATGGCGATCGATCGATGAGACGATCGACGAGAATAGTTAGACGATCGATGAGAATAGTTACACGATTGACGAGATTAGTTACACGATCGACGAGATAAGACGATCGACGAGAATAGTTACACGATCGACGAAAATAGTGACAGCATTGGTTTTAATACACCGTAGATGAGAAATGTTTGACAATTGAATTGACGAAAGTAGATGTTGAATATATGACAGGATCGTTGAAACTTGAAACTGAATCGATGGGAAGGCAGTGAATCGAAGAAACATAACTGAATCGACGACATGAATTTTTGCCCTTTTGGCCGCCCATACATTGAGCCTTGTTTCGAATTGAGCCGTATTCAGAACAGGGAACTAACTAGTCCGAGGGTCAAACATGGCGACCCACTACAAAGCTTGCCGTCTAATCCGCTAATACACACTGAATAGATAGCCTATGGGGAAGTATTCAAGTGGCGTTGGCCAAATTTGATCCTGGGAGTAGTTTGTCCCCTATTCTGAATGGGGCCTTACTTTTTTGTGATTATAATTAATAGCCCCGTTCCTTTTGTATTGCAGATAATTCACAGCGATTCAAGTGTGGCAGTCGTCTTCCCGAAAGGACGATCTGCTACAATTTAAAACAATAAATAAAGTTGGCATGGGAGTGATTTCGCACAACGAAAAACGGCCAAAAATTTTATATCAGGAGTTTTCTTTACCAGTCAATCGACTGTTAGCGACAACCCCGAAGCATCTCGCTAGAGTTGAAACTCGATTTTGTTGTACGCATAAACATTGTCTTTGTGCCAGACGTCCATCATTACAACGTGCGGGGATAGCACGTCCACAAGACCCCCCCCCCCCAAGACTCCGCCAAAAATTCATCTTCTGCATTAAAATATTGAAACAGAAGATTTATTATATCTGTAACATAACATTTGTTTTATAAATCTACTTTACTTAATAACCAGCTTAAATAAAAGGGCTCACCATTAGGAAACACGTAGTTAAACTTGAAAAAAGGTTGTTTTAAATGTGACAATCATATACGGTACAACATACGATCAATATGGCTGATCAGGAATTTAATACGAATAACTATTTCTCCGGACAGGGACACGCGTTTTCAAATAGAATGACCCAACCAAATGACGTCACATTTGGATATTCTAACGCCGCTAGATGCCAGCAGGGAATTGATCAGCCTGATACGGTGATGATACAACGCCCCTCAACCAATCTGTTCCCAAGTTCTGGTTACACCACAAAGGGACTTGGTTGTCATCCCCATAGATCAATTAATGAATGGAAATTAACTGAAGCTAAAGACAGGTGGCAAACATTTGTAAATTGGCCGCAGTATAACCCAGTGCCTTCGACAGATCTTGCGGCCGCAGGGTTTATATATACAGGGCCCGCCGATACCGTTAAGTGCGTCTTCTGCGAGGGGCGACTGAGGAATTTTGAGGTAGGAGATACGGCTATTGGAGAACACCAGCGCCATTTTCCTAGGTGCGAGTTCGTCCTTGACTTTCAGAGAGACCCGAGTGTGTTTCACTTCGTGCAGGAAAATCTCCGTGAAAAGCAACGGTCTTTGTTTCGACCGGAAATACATGCTGCGGCACAATATTCAGCAAACAAGTCTTGTTCCTACGACGAGACTAATACGTTTCAGGTTCCGACTGACGTAATTGGGTCACCGCAATCCGGAATGGGCGGTAGGATGATACCAGCGCGACCAGAATTGTCCTCTTTCCCGGCTCGTTTAGCCACGTTTGCCAGATGGCCACCAGGTATAAAGCAGACCCCAAATGTCTTAGCAGAAGCCGGACTTTACTACTTAGGCGTGAATGACAGCGTAAAGTGCTATTTCTGCGATGGGGGTTTGTGTAACTGGCAGCCGACAGACGACCCCTGGGACGAGCACAAGACTTGGTTTCCGCAGTGTTGTCATGTTTTGAAACACTTTCAGGAGAATGGGCAAAGAGTTGGCGGAAAGGTATTTTTTGTTGGAAAGCAAACTCTCTCTCTCTCTCTCTCTCTCTCTCTCTCTCACACACACACACACACACACACACACAGAGTAAATTTTTGTTGGAGTTAGTACCGTTATCCGTTATCTTAATTGGATTCTTTATTTTTTATTTCTGTCCAAAACTTTATCTTTTCCTCAATTGATCCTTACTACCTCCAGGGCCATGGGTTGACAACGGCAGCACAGCTAAAACCGCCAGCTGCGCCAACATCGAGTGCTTCAAATGGTGGCTTAGTGTGCATGACCCCCTCCTCCAACATCTCCCCTCGCAAAAGACAGAAGATTGATATGAATAAACCATATATCAGAGCGGCAGTGGGGGTCGCTGATTGCTCTGAACACTACGCCAGGAAGGTCATTAGGAAGTACATCAAGGAAACAGGTGTGTGTTGAAATATATTGATATGAGTTTATACTCTTTAAATTTTTTTGTTTTGATTTTTAATATGTGATATTCTATTCTGCCAAAATAAGTGTGGTGTGTTACAACTGAATTGATAGATCATGATAAATATGGTATTTTTTATGTTTCCAATTTACACTAAGAGTTTGGTTATGTACAAATTTGAATTGTTAATTTTAGAAAATACCATTGCTTTATTAACTGTGAAAAATGCATTCTGCACGCCCCTAAATGCTTACATTTCATATACCAGGCCAGGAATTTGAGAACGCCGAGCAGTTTCTGGACTACCTATTCCATATGGAAGGCAGGGCAATAGATTCCGACTCCTCGGACTCTGAAGCAGAAACATCTTTATGTGAAACCAGCTCCTCACCAAAATATACAGAGGAACAGCCAGTTGCAGCCATTTTGAAGGAAGTTCCCGCTTCTCATAAGTCTCAAAATTATATCAACCACCAGGCGGGCCATCCCTTAAATGGACATCACGAAGACACAGCCGAGGCGTTGAGATTAGAAAATCAGCGCCTTAGGGATGAAAGGATTTGCAAAATCTGCATGGACGCCGATGTTGCTGTAGTGATTCTTCCCTGCGGCCATTTTGTGTGTTGCGAATCATGTGCGCCCGCGCTGATGAAGTGTCCCATTTGCCGGGTGGACATACGAGGGACAGTGAAGACGTACATATCTTGAAGAGGAGATTGATAGCAACACTTTATAGATATAGACGGTTAATTAGCATAAAAAGGATTTTCTCTGAAATTTTGCCCATTTTGTTATGAACTCATGGCATACATCACACGAAAACATTAAGAAAATAAACATCAGATGGTAGCTTTTGAAGTCACTTAAGGAAAAAAAGGCAACTTTTATTCATCTCAACTTTTCACCAGACGTCTTTCAGATGTGCCTGCACTCTTGGACATAATAACGAATATAAAATATAATTCGTTATTATGTCCAAGATGCGCATGAGCAGAACGGATGGTTCACTCCACTACATGTACGGATACCACTGCAAACCTAGATGGAGGGCAGTCCGAGCACGCGTGGTTTGAAGAGGGAGGAAAACTCCACGGCTGTGAAAAAGAAAGTAAAGCGAGAAGTACAGAAGTAAGAATGTTAATGTCATTGGCAGGCCAACCTGAGCCAACGGGGACGTCTCGATAGTCCGAAGGTTCATTGGTCCGAAGGTTCATTGGTCCGAAAAGTGGTAACATTTTCATCGATTTTTTAATCAAGGGTTCATTGGTCCGAAGGTTCTATAGTGAACATTCGGACCAATGAACCTTCGGACTATTGAACCTTCGGACTATCGCTACGGCCCGAGCCAACATGGGCCAAGCACAAGAGGAACTGAAACTCACACGCGAGAAACGGAAAAATTCTGCCCGACAGGTTAGTTCGATCTTCTATCATTCTGACTCCTGTATTGAGTGCACCCCTGTCATTTATTTTGTTTATTTAGAGAAGGCAGAATGAATAAGGGTTGAGCTGAATAGTCTTGTATTAAGACAGGTTTTATCGGCTTACATAACGTCGTCATTTACGAAGTCCAAAAAAGCTGTCACATTTTATCAAAGTAAGATTCAAAGTGAGCAAATTAATGCAGTACTGGTATCTGATAGCAGTGATTTCATTCTCCATTGACGTTTAAAAAAGTTGACATCAAAGGAAAATCTGGGGAATGAGGAAAATATACTGGTGTAATTTTTTTAAATACAGGTATTGTGCATGTGGCGGACATCCACTCCTACATCAGGATCAAGGCCATGCAGTCTTCTGTTTAACTGGGTGATACAGAGCCAAGTTCAGAGCCAAAGTAAGTAGTTTACACCCAGAAGCCAAACACGTGATAGCTGTTCAAAGTGCCAGTTACATTCACCATGTTCAATATACCTTGCCATAAATACAACGATACAGTAGAATTGATTTTTGATTAGCATGCTCCTATCAGTGCTCATATGTCTAGTGTAGACATTACAGTTAATGGGTGCTACTAATTTAACAAATAATGCATTGAAGTTCTTCCAACTGTCAATGTTTTGTTTTTAAGGATAGTAAGCAGAAAAGCAAGCATACAAAACCATGGACAATAAGACCTCAAGCTGTTACAAAAAACAAGTAGCACCATTAAGGGTACATTCAAGTCTTCCAAACCCAGAAGTTGGCCATGAATACAGCCCCAGTTCTGGCATTCCTAAAGATGTAAGTCAAGAAAAGAGAAATATTGTTTATTTCCAAATATGGAAATAAATTAAATTCATATCATTGCAGTTTGTCAGATTCAATCATTCACTATGTTCAGAATATCAGAATGAAGTAAACTGGATTTTTGAAATTGTTTCACTGATATTTTTTCCATCTCAACAATTTTCTTATTTGATCATATAAAAATGGCAGTATATTGTTTTTTTAGTTTTATGTAAAAAAAGTGTTGAAAATGGAAAGCAATATATTTCAGTACAGTTATCTCTTGTGTACATATTGGTATTTTTAAGGTGTGACTTAAAATTTTCAAGGGCCTGAAGACCTTTGCTAGTCACATTTGGGTGGTGAGTCTGTAGTTTTCCCATAGGTATTCAATAGCCAGGTTCAGAGCTATTAGTCACTTGCCTTATTAAGTTTCAAGTGACCATTAAATGAGATAACATAAAACACACATGTTGAGATTTCCGTGTAAACTGTCATAGGTTTAGCTCTCTGCCAGATACATTTAATAAAAGTCTAACTTAACAGTGTCACATAATAAGGAATCAGTGATAATTATGCAAGTAAATGTTGATTGATATTGCAAATAAGTTTACAAAAGAAAAAAATTGTAATGCCAACATTAATGCTATAGACGAATAACTGTGTGTTATTATCCTCAAACTCAGTGGGATTATTCATGTCATGTTAATACAGATAGATTAAAAGTTTTGAATAGCAGCTTTATTGGAATATTTTTTTGTGGTTTTCTTTTTTCAAACACTGGCATTTTCAAGATGTGATTTTTAACTCCCATCCACCTGAAGCTCGGCAAATTTTCTGTATTTCCACATAAGCAGTAGTATTGATGTTTATGTCTTTAAACATTATGTAATATTATTTTATGTACTGTCATCATTTTTCAAATATTGAGAATTTCATTATGTGAATTTGAACTCTCATGGTTCTGAAACTGTAATCTTATTGACCATGTAACCTGTTGTGCATGAGTAAAATTCAGTGTTGATTGTGCTGTTCTAAGCATTATTTATTAATTTATTATAGCATCAAAGTTGACAAAATGACCTATTTTTTGCATCTTATGTTCTTTTTTTTTTTTTTTCGTATTTTTGACAGCTTTGCTGCCTTGTTTATAAATTATGAGAGATGACAATTTCACTGTCATACAAACAGATATAAACTCTGGTTTATTTTTTACATATCCACCTAAACGAAAATTGCTTTTTTTCTTGTGTAATCTTGACTTATACAATTATTGATTTTTAGTTGGGAATATGACCAGATTTCCTACAGAGAGTTTTATTTGTTGTTATTGGTATTATTAGTATTGATATAAGGAAGTTTTATTTTTCCATCGTCCTGGGAATTTTATAGCTGGCCTTATTATATATGTGCATGACACACAAGATTTCTTTGTCCATCTTGTGTGTCAAGATATGGATAAGATAAACTATTTTATGTATATTTGTATTATATATGACACTGCAGTGTCGTGGGCTGCAAGGGTTAGGCATCCTATCACAGACTGGTGGTGGAAAATTATACACCATTAGAGGCCTACCTTTTATCCCCCATGCCATCAGCAGCCTCGTACTTTTGCTGTAGCCATTGTATAGATGAGTACCGCACACGTTGCAAATGACTTGCTTACATGTATTGTAGAGTTTGAACAGCTACCCCAGTCCCCCTTCCCCCTGCAAGTCCCAATTACCTCCTCCCTCCCCCCATCACCACCACCACCACAGGCCACTAACCTCCAAGCAATTTCTCAGCCTACGGCTCTCTTGATTGATTTTTTACACCATAAGAACAATCATATTGGCCAATGAATGCAACATTTAATTATTTTTATGTCATCTCTTTTATTATTAAAAAATATACTTTTTTATATTATTTTGTAAATATTATATACCTTATACATGGTAAGACCTTACCCTCTACCAGGGCCACAGATTGATTTTTCACGAGATATTCACAGATATGTCTGTAGATATATAGACAGTCATTTGGCTCTCTGGAAATGTGGAAAACATGCCTATAATATCTGCCACCCTGGTAGAGGATAGTAAGACCTAAGGTCGGTAATTTCAAATTACTTTCTTCGAATGTTTATTAAAATGTTAAAGAAGTTGAAAACAGATGCAACGTGTCCCTGACAGAGCACGGATCCGATTTAGAACTTGATATATTTTGCTGTCTGTCATTATTAAAGCAGACCCCCCCTCCCACCCACTTACTGACCTTATGCAAAAATATTCTAAATCGTCATTAAAGATCGCTTCATATTTTACTGTTGACAGTTTATTGACTTAATATAACAATCTAAAAAAAGAAGTTACAGTTTATATCTTAAAAAATGAGTGTACTGAATTTTAAACTGACCTTTGATATTTGTATTAACCATTAAATAGTTTTTAACAAATCTTTTCAATTTTTTTAACATCCTGTTTACATTTTTAAAATCGTTCATTATATAGTTTATTGTACATATTTAATTAATTTTAAATTATTATTTTATTCTTTGATTTTTACACGAGAGTGTTAAAGTGCACAAACCTTACTTTATACAATTTGTGCGTGTTTATGAAATATTTGTTAGTTATTTATAGAATCTGCCACTTTGTAAATCTAACCATATAATACTACAAAAAGATTTTTAAGAATGTTGAGAATTTTATTAATTTGATTTGCAAACTTACCATTTACTTATATATTTTTAACCAATGTCTTTGGTACTACTACTTGACCTTTACGGTGGTCGATTTGATGGCATATTTTTTCTATTTTATAATTATACATGCATGTTATAGCAGTGCCTGATATTTTCTTAGCATGATTTTACAGTAGGATTTTAAGTACTGCAGGCTGGTCAAATCAGGCAGGTCAGATGTTTTTATTTGTTTATGTTTTTAACAAATAATTAGCATTGATCTTATGTAATGGTATGGGCTAATAAAAATTTTTTTTCTTTTCGTTTTATTTCTATGCTTATGCACATTTTAAAAACCAATAACTGTGTACATTATATATATATATTATTGCTTTGAAATATATAAAAACAATCAATGCAGGCATGGTCCTCCGTTTTACTCTATTTTCAGTCGATTGGATGATCTCGTTACTGTATAGTTGCTGATTTGTTGCAAAGACATCCAAGGCTATCATTGTATGATGTTCTTTGTCTTCCTCTACTTCTTCTTCCTTCAATTTTCCCCACAGAGTACCAGTTTTTCTGTTCCATCTTTTCTGATGAACATGTACATAAATAATACATAAAGAAATAATCGGGAGGCATTCAGTTGTACGACTGTAATACTTGGTCAGTGGCAAAAGGAAATTCACGCAACACTGTAGTACATACCTAGTATAATTGGTGCTGGAGTGAGAATAATCACCATTTTGACTTGGACGGTTTTGCAAGAATATTCCTGTGGTTGTTGTGAAGTCGGGGTGAAAGGAGGGGGGGGGGGGGAGGGGCGGTTCCCAGACTGGCACACAACCAAAAGAAATGACAAGAGCTTGTTATGTGAAAGTATGTGCGTGTGTGTGTGTTTTCGACAGAAAGAGAGAGAGCTGCCAACCTGCCTACCAGCTGTTCACATACTGAAGACAGATATAAATAAGAACTGAAACTGAGAAAATTTCTTGGAAATCAGTGGTTTTAGTAGATGACTAAGAGAGCTGAAAGACAACAGAAGGGAATCCCCATTTACAAACAATATCGTGATTGCTGTCGGGAACTTTTACTTTCGGATCTATTGTGTTTTGTAATTTTCATTGTGAAAATGTCAATAGAGCAGCAAGTGGAAGTCTTTTATACCGTGGGAAGGTATTGACCCAAAAAACCGTCTGCTGGAGATGTAAATTACACCTGCCTTACCATGCCACATTATATTCTTTGCACAAACAATGTTACAAAAGATGGTCTGTGCAATGATTATTATTGATTAAAGGTAAGAAAGTGGGGGAGAAAGATACGCCATATGCTTTTTTTTTTTTTTTTTTTTTTTTTTTTTTTTTGAAATTTCAAGTTTCTAGCGTTTAAGGATATTTCCTGCACGTTAGTCTCTTGGCTATGTACATGATATTCTGCTGACCTTATGCTTGCAATAAAAACGTGTAAAATGCATTAGCGTAGGAGCCGGGGGTGGAGGGGGTTTACCCCCTTTCCCATATCCCATTGAAACCACATTAGTCATAACGAGGGAAGCTGGGCAGGGGGAACTTTAGGGAACCCACTCTCCTCCTGATTTTTTTCTAAATAGATAGCATTCCAAAGTTAAATTATAAGCCACCTACGCCTTTAATGCACATTTTTGAAAAAATCTTGGTATCTATATGATGAAAACCTGCCACGCTAGCACACTTAAAATCAGAGTGATACATTTGGGTGCAACCATCTTCCCTAATTGAGGTGTAGGCTGAATTACCCATACCTCCTATATGGATTATAAATATCTCTGTCAATAAGTAACCCATATTTTTATAATCCTCTTATTACAAAGACAAAAGAAAGTAGGGGGATCCCCGAAAGCGTACATATAGTAACCGGCCACGGGATGAACACACGGAAGTATATATATATATGCGTAGACACAGACCCGGGGACGGGTGAAACGTAGGGCCTGGGTCGTTGGTTCTCTTTCCGTCCTTCTCGCCATCATGGAAGGGGGAGAATCAACTCCCCATGACCCCCGTGTCAATGCTGTTCTCTACACCGGGCTGATAGTGGGTAGAAGAGGGCTTGCGGACCCTGTGAAGCGATACAACACCTTTGCAAAGTGGCCTTCTCAGTCATCGGAACGCGAGAAGATTACGCGCAACTTAGCCGCTGCTGGGTTTTACTTTGATGAAGAAGAAGGGGTGGTTAACTGTGCTTACAGCTGTCAAGGGACTCTGGAAGGGGAACCGGATGCATGGGGATGGGAGAACGCTTTACAGACACACCAACTTCGGTTTCCGCAATGTTCTTACGTTGCAGAGTGCAATAGGAGGCCGACCATTTATGCCGATGCAAAGACC